CAGGTTTCTGGCATGCACTCTGGTGCTGAGTTTCGTGACAGATGGGAAATTCTGTGGCAGATTTAAGTAAATTCAATAAAAATCTTCTTTCCAATTACTGAAAATGACCAGTAGCAAGAGGACAGTATCCCTGGTGTGCATCCTGTTATATTGAATGTATTCTGTACAGTCTGCTCTGCCTCTGAGTTGAGTTGTGTTCAGTACCAAGAGCTGGCAAACGTGGCTGCTTGCTCTTTGTGCTTTGATGAGATGGGACAACTGCCAGATCTACCGAGCCTAACTCAAAACAGGGAACCCTGGTCATTTTTTAGACATCTTAGCCTGGGGAGCATTTGGCTAGAACTGTTCTCTTGCCCTTGTCATATTTATATAAGTAAATAAATATATCAAGAAGGAAAAGCAAGACTCTTGAATAACTTTTCTACAAAAAACAGCTTCCATTCCATTTTCCTGATTATAGCTCTGGAATAGGAGGAAAAGGGAAGCCAGAGTGAAAAGAGAGGACGCCAAACTGAGATGATAGGGAATGCTGAGTAATAGGGAAAGAAAAGTAAAGAAGCAAGTTAGAGAAAAGTACGGAGGGGAAAAGAGCATCTTTAACTTGTTCAGTTTGGGAGGTGGGGGAGTAGAAAGAACTAAATGCATCAGGAGAACAAGAAAAATGGACAGAAAACAGCTGACAGAAAAACAAGAAAGGAGTGGGAGGAAAGAGCAAACGAGGTAGCTCAATTGATTTAAAAATGAACATAAGGTTGAAGCCAAGTTGATCCAGTAGAATGGGTGCACACATGTTTTGAGCCTTTGCTGGGAAAATGGAAGAAAGGGAGTCATGACAAAGACTACGCCGGCTGTCTTCTCCCTCTGGAATGGCATAAAGAAACCACCTTGTAGGATGCAAATGGGTCTCTGTATATGCACTCACAGAAGCTTAAGTATGTTTTAGGAGTAGAAACCATCAGCGTGGGGAGAGCCTCTACTGCCACAGAGCTGATGAGTTGGAGCACGGGGCACTCAGCTTTTCCCTGCCAGCATCTGGTTGCCGGTGGACTCTAATCAGCGTGTGGTAGAAGAGCTGCCAGGGACTGCTCCTATTCATGGCTTGGGAACGCTGCATGTTGGCCTACAGAAGGACAAAAAGAAACATACTTTCCTCTTCTCTTCTT